CATTTGATATGACGAAAGCTGAAACTGTTAAAACTATATTAAAAATATAGAAAAGGGTATGACAAAATTATTTTGAGAAAGTTTCAGCAAGTATCTATAATCAGTATATACAGTAAAAATTGCATAAGATTTTCTGTATTTAAATAATGTAAAACTTTTGTTATAATCAATTTAAAGCCTTAATTAATCTTAACTTTATTAAGGAACTTTAATTAATTGTTAAGTCAGGATTTTAAAAATATAAATCTAAATCATTTATTGTTTAAAAATTGAAAAAGAAGGTTATTGAAGAATAAAATTAATTTTTGAAAAAATATATCAGAACTTAATTAATTCTATGCTTTTTAGAATTCAAGTAGTTATTTTTGTTAAAGGTGATTACATTAAATATTAAATATATTATATTTATAACTATATAATGATGAGGGACAAAACCCCTTAATAACAGTTGAAACTTAGACAAAACTATATTAAAATCATAATAAGAGATATGACAAAATTCTTTCAATACGACAAAAGCCAAAACTGTTAAAACTATATTAAAAATATAGAAAAGGATATGATGAAATTATTTTGAGAAGGTTTCGGCAGGCATCTATATAACTATATATAAAATAAAATTGATATACAATATTTATTTTACCCTTTTGTATATGGGATAAGCTAAGACTGTAATATTTATAATATAATATTTTAGGAGGTAAAAATAATTAAAATCTTAGTATATATAATATAATGTAAAATTATTATAAGATAAAAGGTGAAGAATATGAGCTTATAATAAATGAATATTATATAATAAATATTATTACCTTTACAATTACTAATAAGTAATTAAGAATTAAGTTTTAAACATTATATAAAGTTATTCTTAGAATAAATTCTGATATTATAATTAAGTTTTAAACTAACCTTTATCATTTCAAAAAAAAAAAAATAAAAGATCAGTTATATAACTAAAATAAGAATTTTTTTTAAAATTCAAACAGTTTATAATGAAAAATTTTATTTATAAAACTATTTTTAAGTAAAAGTTTTTTAAATTAAATTTTGTATATAAACATCTTATTTATAAAATATTTAAAATAATTTATTATTAAGAAAAATAAAAAAGATTGTTACAAATAAAACATATAATAAAATATTACAAAAAATATATTTTTTTTATTTATTAATTAAAATTATTTTTAAATATTTTTAAAATGAATTTAAAAAAATTAATACTTTTATAATAAAATTTATAATAAAAAATGTAATTAACTATTGATCTTTAAAGAAAATACATAAAAATTATTTTTAAAAATTAAATTTTAACTGATATATCTTGCTATCTATTAATCTCAAAAATATAAAAATATTGCCTTTTATTGTATGCCACTGTATACAGTACCCAGGATCTTAACCAAAAATGGGATTTTTCAAATTGAATAATATCTATGGATACTAAATGAGAAACTGGATACTATTTTAAAGGGGATACAATATACAAGAGATACTGTATATGAAGGTTACAAATACACAACTTTAATAAATAAATATCAAAAAAAATTAAATTTACTTTCCTTCTTCAATTCAGTTTCACAAATATTGAGAAAAACTTAATATTTTTCCTTACTTTATATAAAAATTATGAAAAACACTTAAGTAATAGGAAAAGTTAATATTGAAGACATGATGCTATGCCTGGGTATCAATCAATTTTCACAAAGTTTAGCTTTGAATAGTATCCGGATACTATTTGTGATTAGGTCAACATGTATAGTGAATAGTATCCAGGTATTAATCACGGGGGGGGGGGTATTATTTTTGGGGATACTGTATGCAGTGGCATACGGTAATAGATTTTAATGAAATAAATCCAATTAATTAAATTTTATTTTAAATAATAAAATTAAAAAATTGAAAAATTGATATATATTGATAATTATTAATTTACAATTTATAAATAAATTTTATTTTATAGTTTTATAATCTTTATAAATAATGCTTATTGTAATATCATTTTAAAAATTACATTACTTATTGCTTAATTTGGAAAAAAAAAATTTTAACCCCCCCCCCCGGAATTGTAAGGTTTTGATGTAACCAATAAATACAGGGTTGTAATAATTATTAAACCATTCCGTTGTCGCTTAATTTTGTCCTTTCGTCAGCAATCAATTTCATAACCATGTGCGATAATCGCGAAAATACTACCTGTGCAACTTATGAGTTTGCATTTTGTGGATTAGCTCAACTGAATAAAGCATTATATAGTCCTATTTTTTCTTCAGGAAGTGACCAACACTTATGGCAACTTTGGATACAACCAGTGAGAATGAGAATTTTTATCTTTATTTTAAAAACTCTGCGTTCGATATATAATTTGCTTAATGATTCTTTGAATGACGACAGGCCGATACGCTAAAAGATGGTGAGGAATATCTATCCTTATATCTCTGTGTTATTCCTAATAATAACGAAATCAAAACCGTTGAGCCATGGCGAGAACGTATGTTGACAACCGCAACAGTTTATCTTATGGATCCTAAAACGAAAACTCGTATAGGAAGTACGATTTATTACACTAATAAGAATCTCAGAAAATTCTCTATTAGATGTTCATATCGAGGTATTTTGTGATAATGTTAAGCTTCCAATTTTATATTGATCAAAGTTAATTCATCGTTCAACTTTGAATTAAAATGTCTAGGCCGGGAATTTTTCGTTAAACGATCCGTGATACCATCGACTAAATTAGTTCTAGGGATTGAATTTTTAAACGTTCCTTTTACCGAGAACTACGTCATGTGGAATGATAATAATTGTGCTCCTCCAGATTCACTAGTTCATTCATGGAGTACCGCTGTTAATAATCCGAGAATGGCAGATGTCTTGTTTCAGGTTCAGGGAGAAATTCTTTGTGCGAATAAAGAAATTGTTTGTGGAAGAAGTGAATACTTTAAAGCCATGTTTGCTAGCGGATACGTTGAATCGCGCACGATATCCGTTGCAGAGTGTGGACGGTTAAGAAAACGACTTCGAGACTCCATTGGTAATGGACGAAAATCGATTGAACAAAGTTTGGAAAGTACCGAGACGGATATGGAAGAGTTGGACAAATCGATCCAACTTGGAAATAAAGATGATGAACAAAGGATTACTAAAAAGCAACGGTCGATACATACAGAAAGTGCGACAACAACTACCACTATATGTGTCACAGCTTCCATTACGCCCAATCACGATATTGATGAATTTACCACCCTTTACTCTCAGAATAATTCTACACATTACAGAAATGATGGTATTAAAAAGGTTGATGACGATCTTCAGATCGAAGGTCAAGTCAATGATGTAAATAATAATAATAACAATAATAATAATAATCATAATAATCATAATAGGAACGATCATGAGATCCCAGAATCATTAGTTAAATCAAAGAGCATTGGACAAGAAAATATTGTTGGGAAACAGGATCGGGTCTTTTCGGCTGTTATAGCTAAAACCAGTGGGCCTGAAGCAGAGGTTGATGATGAGGATTTCCCTCAAGATTTACCTCCCGGATTCTATCATGTTGTCAACATTACAGATTGTGATGCGCCAACTTTTTATGCATTGCTCCATTATTTATATACCAATGAAATCGTACTCTCCGAACCCTCAGGGACACCCAGGGTGACATCGCTCGTAAATCTTTTCCGACTGGCCGATAAATACCAAATCATTGATTTAAGACAACGTGCGTTAGCACGAATTTACAAAGAACTGGCGATATCTAATGTTGCTGAAGTGTTATTTAGTTTGGGCCATCAATGGCCAGATTTGAAAAAAGTTTGTATGGATTACATAATGAAACATTTTGCAACAGTTAGAGATACTGAAGGTTTTAATAAGGTTATGGAACATCCTGAAAGTTATACAGGTTTTAGCGAAATAGCTAAAGATCTCTTTAAAAAATTAAAGATTGCTGACGAAAAAGAATGAATTATTCTATAATAAAGTAATGTAATCCCTTGAACACTTAATTTATTATTTGGATTAAAATGTATTCTGACTTTTTTATTATAATCTTATTCCCCTTAATTTAAACTCGTGATGGATACATCATCTTGAAATTTCAATAAAATAATGTTTAATACATGGATTTGAAAATCTAATCCAGATTTGTTAAATCAATTTCACTTACGATTCGAACGGAAGCACCAAAGCTCTTTGGAGGAAGATTTTTTCGGAATTTAGCTTTCACGACACCACTATTGCCATGAGGCCTAAAGTTATCAAAATTGAGTTAATATAACAATTGATCATATTTTTACATGATTTTAAAGGTTATTACCTAGTTACACGACCCCAAATTACGCGAATCTTACTACCACTTTTCTAAATAGATGCAATTTAAACAATGAATGGATTAACTTTTAATTTTCCGTTTCTTTTTTTTTTTTTTCAAAAAAAACATAATAAATAAATAAAGGATTGAAAATAATCACCTCCCGTTTAGCTCGATATACAAAAGCGACATGTTTACCAAGGTAGAATTCTGTTTCTGCCTTTGTTGCTACGCCCTCGATTTTAATTAAAGATGTATCTGGAGATTGATTTTTCTTTGAGCGCTTGTATCCGAGATGGCGACCCTTTGCGTAAAGACTAAATATATATAAAATTGATTCGTTAATGTTGATAAACTTCACTTTTTGTTTTTTTTCGAAACCTAAAAAAAAAATATCCATCCAGCCAACTTTCAAATTTCGAAAGCGAATAAAAAGTGAGGTGTTTTATCTAGTATGTTTGAATATATTGTAATTACGCACCGAACTGGTTTACTTGTCATTTTAAAGGCGTCAAATGTGAAATTAAATGAAGAGGAAGTTTAATTTTTATTTCATAATCCAAAATTTATGCATATTCACTAAGATCTGATCGTAAAAAAATTTATTATCCAATCAAATCTTCAAGCGAATTTATATAAATAGGAGAATGAAACAACTGTGAAAATCCGTAATTTTTCTCTCTTAATGGTATGTATGATATTATTGCCTTTTGTCTAAATTTCGTTCCTTTCTACTTACTTACATTCTTATCAATTCTTTTTTTATTTTTTATTAATACCATTCAGGGTGCAGTTAAACGATATCCTTATCCTAAAGAAGTTTGGTAAGTTTTAATTTAATCGACAATTGAACAAATTTTACACGAGATTGACAAAATCATTGCATTATATTGTATTTAATACAGGACTCCAGGTATATTATATTATAATAGTTTCCAAGTCACTTATTTGTTCAAGATTGTTCATTTATTTATGTTTCGTAGCCGGTGGTTGGTGGAGTCGGCCGGCTAATTGGAAAAGTAATACAACTATAATCACGGCAGGGTTCTTTGTAATTGTAGGAATTGTTTGGAATATTTCGGCTACACGTGAGGTAAATTTTTTTTTTTTTACAACGCGCAAGTCGCGTGTTATAGATGTCATTATTCATACGATTTATTATAGTGGCGTCATAACAAACCTAATCAATGGATCCCTTCAATGATGGTTGGTACATTTTTTTCTCTATTGTCATTGTCAATTTAATTTATTAAATAATTATTACAATATAATTTATGATTAGTGGTCTAAACAATTTAAAGATGGTGAATATAAGGATTTAAAATTCGACACAAAAAAATAATAATTAGATTCTAAAATAGCTAAGTTATTAATATTAATTACATGTATGATTTTATGAAATTTTAATAGTACATGAAAATTTTTTGTTAAATCCTATCCAATTCATTTTGTATTTTCTTGTATATCTTTTTGTGTACTTTTACATTACCACCCATTAAATTTCCAATCCATTGTGCAATAAGATCAAACACGTATTTTTCCATTAACCACGATACAATAAAATCTAAAACCGCAATAAACAAAAGATACCATCTAAAATAGTATTCAATAACCTTAAGTTCCAATATTTGACGTATAAAACCGGCCGGATATAGGAGGATAAGGGTCGTAATAAGTGCGAGGAAAATTGTTGAGAGAACAAAAGGAGCTATGATTTTAGGTTTTTTTTTTAAAAATTTAAATAATTTAAATAATAATAAAAATAGTTAATTATTATTAATAAATAATTCCAAGGAAAAAAAAATTTCTAAGGGCAAATCTAAAGATAACGATACCGTTGCTATGCATTGATTTTCTGTAAGGTGGCCCAACACTGAAAACTGCGGCAATTAAAATGTACTGAAAGCATGACAAAATAAACAATATGGTATTCTCAAAGCAAACAATATTCTTATCATCTGGATCGATAACAGGCGGTTTATACCTAGGAAGATAAAATGATAATAACGTGAATACAATTGAATTAGTAAAAGTGCCGAAAGTATTCTATTTATTAAACTTACCAAGGTTGCTTGCGTATTAATAGATAAACAAAAATTTGAAATCCCGATTGAATTAAAATTTGACCAATAAGGGATGTTAGCACTCGTCTGGAAACTAAGCTTGCGGTGGGTCGTTTGGGATGTATGCGTGGGTAAGGTTCCGTGCGACCCACTAAATTGCGAGTTCAAAATACGTGTACGAAATTAATTACAAGGAAAGTAAATAAATAAATAAATAAATAAATAATGATCTGATCATACTTAAAACGGCAACAGGTAATATTAAGAACAAATCTATGTAAAGAAACTGGAGATAGAACGTCGTAATTTAGTAATAAAGTAACTTAGTACATCGTCAGAATCGTATATGTATTAAATCTATATTACTTGAAAATTTCCTAGATTAGAAGCAAAAGAATATAGCAAACTGACGGTGGTGAATTGAATAATACTGTACAAAGCCATGTACTTGAAGCAGCTAAAACTTGTAACTAGGGCAGCACGACCCTCCCTAGTAAGAATTAGAATCAATTTAATACACTTGACATTATTTTATATAGCAAGACAAAAAGATGTTTTATTAACTGTATCATTACTCACTTGATAACTTCTATAACACAACCAATGTCCATTGTGTGGCTTGTAAAGGGAGCTGCTACAGAAGCTTCAGCTTCAGATAAAGATAGACCGACATCAGCCGCTTTTAAAGCACCACAATCGTTGGCACCGTCTCCACAGAATCCAACGCAATACCCCATAAGTTGTAACTTTTCTACAAGTTCATGTTTCTCGTCAGGTGACATACGAGCAAATATTTGCCCTTTAACAAACATCTAAAGAAATAAAATAAATAAATTAGTAAAATATGACACGTAGATCAAACGAATACGAAAAGATTTAATTTATTTACTCTGAATAATGTAACTTCATCAGCAAAATCTATCATCCATCGGAATATATCACCTGTAACAGCAAGATCATAATCAAGAGAGTTGATCATTGGACATTCGTTGGAACAGTCTGATGTTGGTTGTATTAATGGCTTAAATCATTATCGAATTATTTGGTTGGTTAGAAACAAATAAGGAGATCATTGACAGATAAATAAGATCAATTTTTTTTAAAAAAAAAAAAAAACCTTTAAAGTCTTCGAATCTAATACATCTTTCGGATCATCCAAGCTTTCCCATACAATTTCGGATCTAGGAGTAATTGAAGTTCCTTGGATAAATCTTGGTACATACGCTTTGGTATTTTTATTGATTAACCCACATTCACGAGATACGCTTATAGCAGTGAGGACGTTATCACCTTATACATTAAAAAAAAAACTCTCCCGTGTTAAAATGTTTCATGAAAGATCGACCATCGCAATCTTATTTATTATTACCTGTACACATAATTTGCCGAATTTTTGCGCGTTGAAGTTTCTCAATGACTGGTGGTGTGCCGGACTTTAATTTATTTTCAAATATTATAATTCCTAAGAATTGTAAATCTTGCTCGACTTGTTCTCTTTAAAATTATAAAACAAACAATTAATAAATTGGTCTGTCTAATAACAATAGGAAAGATGAAATTGGGATGAAACCTCTTGATTTTCTGAGCCTTCATCCAATTTAATTTGTCAAAACTTCTAGAAGCACATGCAATAACCCGAAATCCATGGTGAGTATAATAATGTAACAATTCATCGTAATCATCTGGAACTTTTTTTTAAAAAAAAAAGAAAATATCAAAAAAAAAACCATATATATATATTTTGAACAATCTGCATATAGTAAAGGAAATGATGGGAATTTACAGGAATCCGGTTTACAAATTTCACGCATAACCTCTGGTGCTCCTTTAACATAAACCTCTATTGTTGGGCTTCGTAATCGTTTAACCAAAACGCTCATGCGTCGTAATGAAGAAACGAATTCAAACGTCCTAATAATACCAAGCTCCAAAAATGGGGTGGTCTAAGATAAGAAGAAAAGATATTTAAGAACCAAATATTCATTTATGAAAATATATTCACGGTCACGTTACCTTCCCTTCTCCATCATTATCCAAAAGGTCAGACAAATCGAATTTTCGACTACCTGGCGGCCTAACGACTGTTGGAACAATACTACCGGACCCTACCATTGAATTAGGTGTCGCATGGCGTAATGAGGAAGTTGAGTCGTTTGAAATTCCGGTAACACTTGGAGGACGTGAAGGATTTTGCACGCTTTCTTCTAATAACCATTTTGTAAATTCAAACATCTTCAGATCAAGAGGATCACCAATTAGTTTACCATCAACAAGCTTAAGAGAATGACAAGTCGCCATAGCATATAAAATTGGTGAGAAATCGGATTTCGTTGAGGGCTCAATGTCTACGGACATATCATTTGGATTTAAATTGGATAGGGTTTCGATATATGTATGAAGGTCAGAGAATCTGAAAAGAAATGTCATATATCAATTAAAAAAAAATTCTTAATGTTGTTAACGTTGAGAATTTAGGTAAAGTACGAACTTGTTTTTTGTTCGATCCGTACAACGTATCCCAAGTACATCTAAACAATCCTCGGTAAGCGTGCCAGTCTTATCAAAACACATAACATTGAGCTTTCCTCCGATGTTAACCCTTTAAATATATGTTAATCTTAAAAAGTTTTTTTGAATCGAAATTCATATAATTAGTAAATACCTTGCGGGGCTGATGCAAAATATTTGTGCTTTTCTTAACCTAGCTAAAGAAAAGCTTGTACCAATAGACATCGTTGTGGGAAGAGCAGGAGGAACCACTATAGTAATCAAATCTAGAGCGCGTACGATTATGAGATGAATATTTACTCCCATTCGGATAAAATTAATAGTACTTATAAAAAACCCAATTCCGGCTATAAAGTATGATATAAAAGGGAAATGAAAAAAAAACACATTTAATAAACTCAGTTTAAATTATCTTTCTAGAAATAAATATATACATACCTATTAAAGATAAAATCCCAATAAATCGAAAAGCATCTCGATAGAATTTAAACTTATTTGGTTTTGGAAATAACATCGATCGAATGAGGGAACCCTTAGTCGTATTAAATCCTAAAAAGTTGGAAGATTAACTTAAATACAAATAAATCATATGATTATAATTTTATTATACCTCACCTGTCCTGACAACCATTGCCAATGCTGATCCTTCATCTTCAATTCCATCGATATTGCTCTTGGATTTCCTAACCCTCACAATCTTTGTTCCACAAAAAAGAAAATGTTTGGCAATTTCTGGCCGAACATTGACCGCTGTCAAATCCATCATACGTAACGATATATCTGTGATGGGCAATTTTGAAACCGGAACCGACTCTCCTAAAGAAACCTATCAAATAAATATATGTTGCAAATTACACAGTAAACCATTATTGACCTTACCGGTAAGCATGCTTTCATTGACTATACAATCTCCTGTCAATAAAACGGCGTCGCAAGGATAAACATATAGACTTGGATCAGAAATTTCGAATATGTCTCCAGGTACTAAATTTTCTGAAGAAGAATATCTCCCTATATAAAAGAATTTGTTAAAAGATGCTAAATGAAACAAACATAAAAGGAAATATATATATATTCATTCTATACAGTTTTATCAAATACTTACATAACCCGTTGCGAAAGATCCTCACGTCACAGACAAATTTAGACATTTCACGTAATCGATGCATGGTCTTTAAAAACATATTATAAATGAATGGTATCACGTGATTACAAAAATAAAAAATCTCCATTTCCGCCTTACCTGTTTTGTTTCAATAAGTGTAGTAATAACACTTGTGGCAGAAATTATCAGAATACATGCAGCATAGTAATAATACTCGTCGAGAAACCAAAGTATCATTGAAAAAACTTGGAAAATGTAAAACGGATGTAAGACCTAAAATGATTTAGGAACTCAACATGAATTTCTATCAAATAGACCTAATCGTTTCCAAATTTAAAAACACAAAAATCTCACCTCATCAGTTAATAACCGTAAAGCCGATTTCTCCTGAACATCAATTATATTCGGCCCAAAAATAACTTTACGTTCATCATGAACGGCACGAGTGATCCCCTTTTTTAAGACCTTGGTAGATGTCCAGCTTGAATCTTTCCAATAGCTTTAAAATTTATTAGCACATGGCTCTTTCTTATCGTTTACCGAATTAATTGCATATTCATTAAAAATTATACAGTACCTATTTTGTAAAAATTTTCCTATTCCGGGATGATAAATGAATCGTATATAACGATGATCAAAATAGCGTAAATTATGTAATAATTCATCGGGATTCGAATTATTTCTTGCCATATCTTCTTCGTCAAGCTGATCAACCGAAAATACAGACGAAATGGTTCCACCGTAATATTTTCGACTTACGTATTCAATCGCAATCTCACCCCATTGATTCTGAATTTATGCAAAGCAATGTATTTATACTTCAAGAAAAAAATTGTAGATTTTTTAAAGTTCGTCAGAAAAAAACCAACCTTTATGGTAACAAATTCGGCCTTTCCCATTGAGCAAGCATTGCCGACCCACCAAATCCATATTTTTGGTATCCATCGAGCAAGAAGAAATAATGATCCTCCGGTCAAAAAACAAAGAATATAATATATATATGTGCGGAAGCGACGAAGGCGGTAACCCATTAAAATGATCTGGATATGAATGAGTCACGTCAGGATGAAAAGATTATTCAAAATAAGATCGATTCTTAATAAATTATATATTGAAATGTCAACATACATTGAGATCTTCTTCCTCCAGATAAACATTTTGGGTAGATGGTAAATTACTCTGATTTTCTAAAATTAAAATAAAGATATTACTAAAGATTTAAAGAACACATCATAAATATAGCGTGCGTGAAAGTACAAGTGGGAAGCTTGTTTATTTAGCTGGTCACAATTTAAAACATCCCTACCAAGTGTATTTACTACATTCACAGCCATCTTGCTCATATTTCCTAATAAGGGTTTAGTATCTTTCGTTGCATCGATACTTTCATCCTCGTTAATTTCCCCTATAATGAAACTGAGCTCATGATCTTCATGGTCAGTACCAGTACTCGTGGTCGGAATGGCCCTATCTGAATTACCACCACTCTCGCCTGTAAAATCTCGAGTTTCAAGTCTCATGCCTTGGTGTACTCTTAAATCTAAATATTTATCGACAATTAAACAAAAAACCAACGAAAAAAAATAGTTGTCCTAGTTTAATTATGAGCGAGTAAGGATCTGAATAATTATCAACTACAACCTTTAAGATTAGTAGCGCGATTTGTCATCGAAATTCGGGCGGCATGTGAGGCGAATAATGATGTTGACGCGAAAACCAAGTTTTTTAAGTATTAAAACTGATCTTCAGCACGAAAAATCTAAAAGCGAAGCCCGAAAATTTCATAACCAAATCAGGTTAGACTCTTGTTTGTTAAATTGCTCTTCACTGTAAACTTCTTTTTTCGCGATTCCGCAGCACATCGATTAGATGTGATGTCATCTTATCGATCAAGTAAAGAGCGCAAATAAATTATACGAGGAATTCGTTCACATGGCTAATTTTCGTTCCAGCTTGAGTAAGCTTTCGTTTATTAAAATACGTCGGTTCTCCGCGTTACGTGATCAAGTAAATGCTTTATGTTTGCCTTTCCTGTTGTAACGAGGTTTTATTTATGTATTTAGGAAAAACCTTTATCTCAGAACTTAGGATCCTACATAGGGCCAAAAAAAGTTAAGATCGTAGAAGTTGGTCCTCGTGATGGTCTACAAAATGAAAAGCAGCCTATATCAACAGAGATTAAGATAAATTTTATAAATAAATTATCAAGGACGGGTTTGAAGGTGATCGAGGCAACTTCTTTTGTGTCGCCGAAACTAGTTCCTCAGGTATGGTAAAATTTCTTATTTTCGCCACGCTTTGTTGATAACTATTTACATTTCTGATTCCGATTAAATTGAAAAATAGATGGCAGATTGTGAAGAAGTTATGAAAAAAATAACACGTGAACCGGGGGTTAATTATCCAGTTCTGACCCCCAATCTTAAAGGCTTGGAAAAAGCTATTTCTGTAAACGCAGGAGAAGTGGCTATTTTTGGTACAGCCTCCGAGACATTTAGTCAAAAGAATATCAATTGTTCAATAGAGGAGAGCTTTTCACGATTTCATCAGGTAATTGAACGTGCCAGATTAGCAGGAATCGCTGTTAGAGGGTATTTATATTTATTTATTAATTTATTATAATCTCTGTCGATCCTTTGTTTCTTTTGTATTCTTTTGTATTAATTTATTAATTCTGTTGATGGTGCAAAGGTATATTTCTTGCGTTCTCGGGTGCCCTTATGAAGGTGAAGTCCCACCTGAAGCGGTTGCAAAGATTGCTGAACGGTTGTACAAGATGGGATGTTACGAAATATCCCTAGGGGATACAATCGGTGTTGGTACACCTGGTGAGATTTATTGTTATTATATATGGAGAAGTACCAAACAAGCAACGACGTTGAACTAATTTCTATCATCATAATCGTCATCAACATCAAGGTTCATTAACCAACATGTTATCCGCAGTACGCAAAGTGATTCCGGTTGAACGTTTAGCATTACATTGCCATGATACTTATGGTCAGGCTCTCGCAAACATATATTGCGCTTCGGAGGTTCGTTGGCAAAGGAGCAAATTATTTCCCCCTTGACTTATCTATTTAATTTTGTTCTAACTTGGAAATGACTAAATAGCATGGAATAAGAGTCTTTGATAGCTCGGTTGCAGGTTTAGGTATTCATTCTAAATTCATATGGTCCCTTTTTATTTTGGTTTATATACTAAATTAGCATACATCATCATGATTTAGGAGGATGTCCCTTTGCTAAAGGAGCAACCGGAAACGTGGCAACAGAAGACGTGGTATATATGTTACAAGGAATGGGTTTTCATACGGGTGTGAATCTTGAAAATCTAGTACGCACTGGTAATTATATTTCGCAACATTTGGGTAGACAAAATGGATCGAAAACGGCCGTTGCTTTAACTGCCAAGAATAATGTGTGAAGATCACGAGGAATGGTGGATGATCAAATATATATAATATTATTGCATCTTGTCCTTTACGGATTCCAATAGACTTTGGTTCATGACAGAATATATCTTAGAACACGCATCAGTACATTGTTCGATAGCCTAAGATTTTATATTAAGTTAGCAACCTTCACTTTCGATGTAAGAAAAAATGTTGTAAATAATTTTATAATTGAAGTGTAATCCGAACCTGAGTAGTTTGAGAAATTTCAACCTCACCAGATTGTAAAATGTGCGTTACTTCATTTAATGATGGCATATAAGATAGAACTATTGATCCTGTCTCGCGCTGTTCCTCTAAAAGATCACTATCCATGTAAATATCACCATCAATATACGACTTTGGAAAATGAAATCAAGTTAAAAATTTGTTTGTTCCCAATTAATGTTCATATCCCAAAAAAAATAAGCAAATTCTCTAAATCCTTACCGCAGAACAAGCTGCAACCTGATCCGACATTTCTATGCCCGCGTCAGCTACGGCCACGGAAGCACATGTGATTGCCGCGGCTAAACATGATGCCGTTCCATCATTTTCTAGCACGCTGATAAATACATCAATGGTCGATTTGGGCAATAGATCAAGTCGGATAGAAGGCGCCAATGCTTCAAACACGAGATGTGACAATTCCTTTTCCTGTGCATCCTACAAGTTATAGATTCATTTAATTACATTATATTATTTATCATCATTGAAATAGGTTCGAAAATTAGAGAAAAATGAAACTTACCCGGTAAGATTGCCTACGCTTCAAACACGAGAATGGAGCAAATTTAATTTCACAATTTAAATTCCCTTTCCCACTGAACGACGCAACTTTCGTTTGGCGCGGTCCATAGCTAACATTTGAATAAGAATTAATTAATGAAAAGGAAGAAGTTTCGCAACGTTGTTAATTTAATTAATGATGGGACCCACACTCCACAGGCAATCTTGGTTTGTCGCAGCTCTATATACGCTGAACCATTAGCCTGACTTATGAGACCAGTTTTTAGGACTGAAAAAAAAAAGAAAATTAATAATCAATAAAGGAATAAATTATTAAACGAGTTTGTAACGAAAATTATTCATACAAATCGGCCGAATATCTTCCAGGTTTCTTCCATCGCGACGTCGGCCATTTACGTCCTTGAGTAGTATTTTTTCTTTATCAGAAGACTTAATAATTATTGGCGTAACGGTAACCTCTGGTCCTTGTATCCGCCTCCGATCTGCCATTTTACTTTACTTTATTTTATTTTATTTTTTTTTTTCTCTGCCTTTTAGAAAATTTATTTATAAATGAGAGAGTTCCAATGTCATCTAAGATGATGATGGTTTTTATCGGAACGTTGTTCATCAAGTAACCAACATAAATTTTCCGATTGGATGAGTTTATTCCTCATATGATCTCTTTTGTTTAAAACAGCAACCAGAATTTTTTCTTCAACCACCTTCAATGGCATTCGCGGCCTCACAGATCCCAAGGGCTTTGGCAAGAGAATTTACCCTGCGCAATGCCTTATCAACCACGTTTAAACGTCCGAATAAATTTATTACATTTCATTCCTTTGCAAGTCATCGTCAAGTGGTGATAAAGGCTACCGTCACAACGAACCGTTTCTTTTCTACTGAACAAACTAATCAAGCTCATCAAAGCTCCCCCAAAACCAATGGTACGAAACCTTTGCTCGAGGAGTCAACTAAACCAGAGCAACCTTCGACACAAAAAAAACCTTCAGGAATACATGATTATTTCACTCAGAATAATAAGGAGAGCGGCAAAACATTACCGGCGTTTCCTATAGTATTAATATTCACGGCGTCCGCGATCGCATTCCTTGGATTGTACCAGTATTTTTATTCAAACGTTAATAAATATCCCGAAGAGATTCGTAAAAATCTCAAGAAAGGCTTATATTATCAAAATTATAGGAGTGATCCAACTCGTGCGGTTAATTTTTATCAAACTGCACTCACGGAAGCCTTTAATCATGCAGAATTAGACAATTCATCACCGGAAGTTACTGGAATCATGATTCAATTGGGCAGCCTATACGAAGAGCTTGGACGAGTACGTGATGCCGTGGATGTTTATACAATGGCGTATGACGCTATCGTTACCCCCAATCGCACTCCCGTAAAATTGGATGGGGAGAAAAAACTTAGATCTATTGGATTGGCGCAAAAACTAGGCGATTTGCATCAAAATTTGAAACAGGATGAGAAGGCAGAAAAATACTTTGTATGGTCCGTAGAACAACTTTTGCAGTCACAACACGAAGTGGTCCAATCCAATCATGATAACATCAATCGTGATGGATTATTTTCAAAGGGACGTGACTTGACCCTTCCACCTTGGATGACATCGACTGATCTAGGTGCTTCACTTGAAGCTCTGGCAACTTTCTATTCATCGCGACACAAATACGCGTAAGTGATATATAATGAAAAGGCTGAAGATTTTTCTGTTTCGGTATGCATAACTTCATTATCACAGAATTTCAAAAGATCATTTATACTAACTAATTGTCTCAATGGCATATCTTAGCTATGCTCTCCCACTTTATCTTCGTGCTTTATCATTGATCAATCCTCCCGAGTCTTCTTGTCATTCAGCCGTTCTTATGAACAATATATCAGAGGTGTTCACCGGCATGGGTAACCTAGAAGAAGCACAAGGTTGGGCGGAACGAGGTTTAAAGCTTGTTGAAAATTTTAAACAGAATAGGAAAAATACGGAATGTGAAGAAGCTTGTGGAGTTTTACTATTTAACTTGGGAATGATCTCAGAAGTATGTCGATTTTTAACAATTTTTTAATTTTATTTTTAACATCATTATTTTCTTAAATACTATATATTAATATGACTTTTTAATTATATTCAGTTAACGGGAAATTTTATTAAGGCAAGTGAATATTACGAAAAGGCTCGTGAATTTGCAAAGAAGATTGGCTTTAGAGATTGTGTAAATGAAGCTGATCTCGCATTGCAGAGGATCAATAAATTATCAAATAAGAATTAAAACTTATTAGAGCACGTGAATTATACAAATAACTTATTTCAAATATATATATACACACAAAGGGATAAATAAACATTAATTAAATAGTGATCGGAGATGTAATTTATTCATTTTATTTGCAATATCTTGTAACAACATGCAAAATGATAAATATCATTGCATATAAATTTTTTAAATTTTTGCCTAACAACCCTGACAACAAAGAAGGGGAGTTTTTTTTTTTTTAATAAAGGGGATCAAAAATGAGTTTCAGCCGCAGTAAATGGTGTTTCACATGCTTAGGTGAGAACAATTGGACATCTATTTTTATACCAATGTCATTCATTAAAATCGAATTGTTGCTGCGGATCCGCATCTAAGGGATTCGATTCACACAATATTAAAATTAAAAAATGCACTGATCGTCCAATCTTTGCATTATGTTGAAAATAACTTAAAAAGCGGGTTAAAATTATTATTATTATTATTTTTTTTTTTTTTTCATCAAATCCACCAAATCCATCAGATTAGAAAATGGGAACAACCTTTACTCGTTTAAAAAATACACAGTCAACACAACCGTTACCGTCAGTTGTCATGGAACGCCATTGTTTTTACAATCAGAGCACAGCGACTAACTTACCCCCCGAATGTCTACGTGAAATCTTTGAATGTCTTGAAATAGATTCGCTTTATCCGTGTCTTTTAGTCAATCGAAGCTGGTGTAAAGTTGCGGTTCCTATCATATGGAAAAGTCCCTTTAGACTTTCGAATTGTCTGTCGTTTGAACCGAGGATAATACAAATTTATCTGTCGTGTCTTAACCGAAAATCGAAGCAATACCTCTGTAACAACGGGGTCATATTACCAACCAGCATTATAGAATCACCTTCACTAATATTTGATTATCCATCCTTTCTGAGAGAACTCAAGTTTTCGGATCTATATAATGGAGTAACTGAATGGTTCTCCAACGTTATTGGTAACCTTGACGAACTGCAGACAACTTTCCTAAAGGTTTTAATCACGGAGCAATTATTTAAACTTTTCATGAGTAATTGCACGAATTTTGACCTACTTTCATTATCAGATATACCTTATGAAATATCTATGCCCTTGCTACCGTTTTTATCCGGTATCGGTACATGTTTCACTCAATTAAAGACATTTCACTGCGTTAGCAAGCACAGAAATAAGAGTGGGATCTTTCGAGCAATCTCTCAGGTATCAGAATTCATTGAAACATTTGTGATCGGAGGTGTTGATTCTGACATGGAAGTCAAAGCTTTGGGGGTTTTGATCAGAGCTCAAAAGAGGTTAAAAACCTTTAAATACACATGAGATTATCAAACAAAATTTCAGGTCGTATTATCCGAAACTCTCGGCGCGCTTAAATCGCAAGCGAAAACCTTAACAACGATCCAATTCGAGTATTGTAATTTCATGCCTTGTGACTCTATGGAAGCCTTGGCGGCCTTTGAGAACTTGGAATACTTGAAGTTTATTCATTGCATATATATAGGTGACAAAATGAATTCTTTAACTTTGGCAAAATTTTCAAATTTAAAACACCTTGGATTTTATACCAATCATATAGAATCTCCTCGGTATTGGATATGTCCGGACGATGTCGCGGCATTGATCGAAAATTGCCATAATAGTTTAGAGAAAGTTATGCTACCACGATCAACTAGCTGTATAGAATCTTATTACAGATTAGTAAAAGCACTTAGATTATGTCGAAATATTAAAGATTTAAAAATACAAATGGAAGAAGGAGATACCAAAGATCTCTTAGAAATGCTTAAAGCATAGAAATTCCAAGATTGAATCTCTCTTCACCAAAAAAAAAAAGGAAAAGTTTGGACGCTTTATGAACATTTTAAAACATTAAATTAAAGGACAATAGGTTGTTCTTTCGAACGTTTGAATATTTAGACATTTTGTAAATCATTAAATAAATCAATCACGTTGGAGGTTGAAGTGAACGAGACACAAGGAAAAAAAAAACACTACGTAGTTATTAATATCCAATAGAGTTCGGGGAAAAAATTTGTTTTCACGATATTATTATTTATATAGTTTTTCTTTAATTTCATTTCTATTTTTTTTTTTTTGTTTTTTTTTTTTTTTTTTTTTTTTTAAAAAAAAAAAAAGAATATTAAAATGGTAGAATATTGAACATGGCTTATTTGAATCTATTTCTTAAGATTACTGCTCGTTCCACTCGATGTTGTTGAGTTAATTGAATCAAATGGCTGGAAGAAAAAAAAAACTCTAATTAATCTATTAATTTATATAAAAAAAAAATAATAATAAATAAATAAAAAATCACCTTTAATGAAACGGTTTCTCTTCGAAGTTCCTTTATCACTGCCTATATTAATAGATATCATTTAAAAAAAGATTACAATTTAAACAGCACCACCGCTTCAAACTTACAGCCAAAGCTTCGGGATTTACACCATTTTCACATAAATTCAAGCATATTGAAAGGGTGTCCCGATCTAAACCAGTATTAAGTAAGGTGGAGATCTCGTAGAGTGCTTTAAAGTGATGATACCATAAATTAGTTATTATTTTTGTCAAGTCGTTCAACATATAAAAGGGTAATTGATATGAAGGGTTATATAAAACATACTATCCAACGTTTCTCTGACTTCTTGAATTTTAGAATCTTCCATCGAGAAAAAAAAAAAAAGGTTTTGGCGTGTAACGTGATTCTAATACTGTCATTGTTATAATCGACGCGAAATAACACGTGATGTGCGGTGTTTTTGTTCTATCATGACATAAAATTATATCATGGAAAATCAAGGTAACCTTTTTTTTTACAATAGGCATGAAAAATCAAAATTGGGGTTCATTCATTGAAATGAAACCACCGAATTTTTGGTCTAGCTCGTGTGATTTGTAAATGGAAATCCCCGTCCAAAGAAGATCGCACCTGCAAGGAAAAATAAAATAAAAATGATTAAAATTGCGGGAGATAATTGAATTGCCGTGATCACGTGATCCCACCGCTCATATTATGGTTATGAACACAAAGTTCATATGAAACGGGAAAATGGAGCGAGACACCCGACTTGTTCAGACCCGTTTTACATGAAACCTAATATCAATTCAACAAATATTTGTTAATAAGTTAATCTCTTGATTGGTTTTGTGATGCATCCAAAGTTTTATTATTATTATTATTATTATTATTATTATTTTAATTATTATTATTAATATTGTTGGTAATTTGATGGATTAAAATATATATATACATAAAAAAAAAAAAAAAATATAAAGTCATCGGTTATAAATAATGGCAAAACGTTTAAGGTTTCAAATGTGCACATGCAAAAAACCGAATATAATGGTCATAACAATCAAACAAATCAATAAATTAAAGTGAATAAGTTTTACTGCACAATATGTTTATTATTTACTATTATGTTGACCTACAAACACAATATTTGTAATTTTCATAAGAACAACAATAACACCTAAACCTTTGTTGCATCCATATTCATCTGCAATGGAAAGAAAAAAAAAAAAAAAAAAAGAAACAGAAACAGAGAAACAGAGATACAAGAAACAAGAAAGACAGAAAGGAAAAAAAAAAAAGGAAAAAAAAAAAAAGATCTGCTTCAACTATATATGCGCATCATTTACTGTTCAAAAATTCGTGATGAAATTGCCGCAGTCACGACGGGAACAAAGATCACCCCCATGCTCGGTGACATGAACTGATATTATACTAGACACTTGAAAAAGGAAATAATTTATTATTATGATCATAAAGAGGTGTTGTATCTTTGTTCGCATTGCCTTATAGAGTATGGTGATACCTTCTTTAGCATAATGCATAAGAGCCAAGCAATTGTATTATTTTGAGGGTTGATGTTGATGCAAGTAATCTGCATTTTCTCTTTCCCCCACAACAGTCGCACAAGGTTCTTGCCGTCGCACGAAATAAAATATCAAATTTTTTGAAAGGTTTGACAAGAAAGCAAGCAGGTTTAGTAAGTTGCACATGCATTAAACTTACCGAAAGGGTCTCGTTGGTGTCAAAAACTAAATAATTTTAAATTTATCCATTGTGTCAAAGTTGATAATGAACACGTATGTTGAAGAAAAAATTGAGTTGATAGAATAATTCAAATATTAACATTGACGCAGGTTATCATCATAGTCATCATCTTTATCCGGAAATATTCGAAAATGGATTCTGTGTGGAGAAATGACGAACTAAATCGATAAGCAAGTTTACCTTGCATCTTTTTTTTGAAACAAAAAAAAAAAAAATAGATATATATATATATATGTATATTTATTTATTAAGGTTCGTGTTTGAACATTCATATCATTTATATGCAAAAGTAAAGTGTGTTTCGTAGATCTAACTAGTCTTGGTGTTTACCCCTTTTCTGAAACCTTGATTTAGACCGGAAAATCCAACAAAAACAATGATACGCATTTTAATATACAGCAAGTTTAGAACCATCCCCACGAAAAAAGACAATGTATAGAAATAAAAAAAAAAAGTGTAATGCATTGATGATATGTATGATGCGTTGTTGCAGATAAAAAAAAAAAAATTTGCTACGCCATCTTAGAAATGGAACGATCAAAAATACTCGCAAAAATTGTAGTAGGAATGAACTAACAGTAGTTACATTAAAAAAAGTTCTGGTCATCAGATCAACCTTCAATCCAAATTAAAAAGTTTCATTTCCTTAAGGAATGTCCAATTAAAGGCAAGTTTTTTAGCACAATGTGCGCGAAAGACATCATTGCCAGAAATAGAGATTCTCCCGATCTTCTGTTTGTCGTAAAGTGTGCAAATTAGTGCACAAATGAAATTTCAAAAAGTTTTTTCTCTGATCTAATTAATGTATTTACGATTACAATAAAAAAAAAAAAAAGTTGCAATATGCATCCAATGTAAGATTCCGCGTGTTTTCAATTACAACAAAGTTTATGTTGAAAGAAAGAAACTTGCATTGAAAATTTTGAAAAAGACAAAAAAAGAAATTCTCAAATGAAATTTAATGAGGTTTGTATCGTTTTTTCCCCCTATTTTAAAGAAACACAGGTAATTAATATATATTTATAAAAAAGAAGTGAAACATGATTGAAACTAAGCCGCACATTCCACTAGTATATAATTAACTTGTTGAATACAAGTAATAACATATTCGCTTCTTTATGTCTTTATGCAGGAATAGGCTGAGTAGATTTTCTGAGGAGAAATTTTCTTTGATGATTGAACGTGACCTGAATCATGTCCCTTTTTGGAGTCGTAAATTTTTTCCCAGTAAATTCCAACAAAATATATAAACATTCTATTGTAATATATATAGTACACAAAAAAAAAAGTTTTATAAATATGTTTACAATTAATAAAACATTTTTTATTAACCATGCAATATTCGAACCTTTTTTTTTATTATTTTTTTTTTTTTATAATTCGAATGAAATAATTCTTTTTAAAATAGAATATCAAAAATTGTATCATCTTTATCAATACATGACCTATTGTAACGTCGGTAAATGTGCCACGAGGATATGATATTTTAAGTAAACGTTGAATATACACATCGTTTTATAGTTCTTAATATATTTTTTTAAATGAAAATTTTCATGTCTTCTTTTTCAAAGAGAATTTTACTAGAACATTAATCCTTCGGTAACATGCGACTTATTAATGTTTGTACGGCTCGCAGACAATCACATTATCATGTTTTGTTGTCATTATAGATTTTTATATTTTTTATGCCTCTCTTTTTTTTATACACGATTATACAGTACGTAATAAGAATAATAGTGAAACAACAAAAAAAAAAAAAAAAATATTCAATTAGCAAAAAAAAAAAAAAAAAAAAAAAAATATAAATAATAACCAAATAATAAATATAATAAATTTTTTTTTTCATTATAAAATCAACCAAAAATATTGTATTAAATACTTTAATCTTTTTTTGGCTCATTTATTTTTTATTCAAATTCCTTTAATCTTCTCATTTTTACGACTTTTCAAGCGATAATACACGCTTTTTTTTTTTCTATACTACACGACTCAATTTTTTCCCTCTTTTATTAAATTTATTCCTTCTTGATCTAATCATGGATAACCATTGTTATGTGAATCCCATATACGGTCCTGTGTTCTCGCAAGGAAACATCTCATCCGGTCATTACCAAACCATAATTTCTACTAATCCATCCTCGGTATATGATACCGAGAATGTCATGTTACCTAGCCCAGAATACGGAGCGAAAGAACTTAACCATTACACACCTCAACAGCAGGAAGGCGCCACGTCCATGCTTTATACAACACAAATCCCTTCACCTACAAACTTCGGAATTAATCCGGGAAATTTCATAAAACATGAAATTTCAATATGCCCTCAGAACGAGTTTAAACCCGAGGTAATTGTTTATTTGTTATTGCTAATCTAAGATAAGGTCGGATGTAAAAAATGTGGTCAAAGTTTATTTGTATGGCGTAATTTATTGAATTCTTGTATTTTGATTTACAGTGTTATAGTCATGATGAACTCAACATGGTTGAAGGTATAGTTTTTCACAATAATCTTTTCTTTTTTTTTTTTCCTTCAAAGTACAACAATTCAGAGCATAAATAACACAAAAATTTATCATCTTTATTATTTGACAAATCAGCTCAAAAATTTCACGGTTCTCCATCAAATTATTTTGAGAAAAATTTTAATCTTCCTGAAATACCATACCCTCCTACGCCAACCACCCCTCATAATGAAAAATACTTGTCCGAAGGATTCCCTATAACGACAACATCAACCGCAATCAATATTAATCCTTCATTTAATCCTGCAACGTTCGTCACATTATCTCAACAAGCGGAAATGTTATATGAGCAAGGATATCACTACCTTCACGTTGAGAAGCCTCGTAATGCACATCTCGCTTTTACACATTTCGCAAGTGCCGCAAATTTAGGTTCGAAACGCGGCAAACATCAATTAGCGTATTGTTTACAACATGGTATTGGTGTGGTTAAGTAAGAATTTTAAAATCCTTTATCATTAATTTTTAAATTTAATTATTATTTATTATTACTAGTTCCCAATTCAAATACCTAACTAATTATTTCTCGTTTCGAATTTTTTTTTTTTTTTTTAGAGATGAAAAGGCGGCGGTGGAGAAATATTTGGAAATTGTGGATGTCGATCCCCCAAATGCGGCAACTTTGTGTCAGCTAGGCATCTGTTTTCAAATGGGCATTGGTGTCGAAGCCGATGCGTCACGTGCCATTCAATATTACGAACGCGCCGTTTTCATGGGGTATATTTCTTTCATTAGATTCAATAGATCATAATTAAAAAAAAAAAAATGATAATTAATCATTCTTTTATTTTTATAACTGATTAGACATATCGACGCAATGTTTAACCTCGCTTATTGTCTTCGATATGGTATCGGTACAACAGCTGATCATGAACGCGCTTGTGATTTATATTATCGCATGGCCCAATTAGGTGACCCACAAGGCATGAAGCTCTTAGGTAACTGTAAATCGGCCGGAATTGGTACCGTAAAAAATGAAATCGAAGCGCTTGAATGGTTTCGACGTTCTAGCGAGAGCGATATCTACTGGGGTGGGAAATTACAGTACGCTTTATATCTTCTTAAAGACGTTTGTTCCGTCCAGAATTACGTTCTGGCATTTAATTTAGTTCGAACCGTTTGTGAGGATTTTCCATCATGTCCTGGACCTATTAAAGTTCTCCTTGGAAGATTTTATCACTTTGGAATCGGATGTCAGGTAGATCTTGAAAAGGCCCTGTATTGGTATGAAAAGGCATTACGAAGTTATCATATGCAATTATGCTCCGTGCAGGAATGTGAAGTGTTGATTAATGATATTCACAGTCGACAATTTCAAAATTCAACAATATCAATACCAATGTTTTCGAAAGGCGTTGGTGATGAACACGTTGTAATCGGTGAAAGTATTGGTCGCGCAAATGAAAGTTATTAACGAAAATGTTTCTTGATTTTTTTTTTTTTTCCAACCACAGATAACTGATAATTAATTACTATAAATTTTACAATTTCCATCCCAATTCTCTCATATTTAATTAAGTCAAAACAATACCAATTAAGCTTATGGAACTTATGTAGATTAATTTTTTAGGCAAAAAATAATAATATTATGAAAAATAAGAAAATAAAATGTAAATATATATATAAAAAAAAAAAAAAAAAAAAAAGTTAATATAATAAACTAATAAAATGATTAAGCGTTTATGTGGTAAAAAAAATTAAATTTCCTACAAAAATGTTTCGAGAAGTTATTTTAACGAGCGGGTCGTTTGATTTTTCGTTACCAATTCAATTTTTACAGACGTGAAAAGATTGATAAAATATTAACGTGTACATAATTGAACATTTTATTTCGAGATTTATCGTTATGCATAAACTTAGTTCCTTTAAAGGTCGTGTCCAAATTAAGATTTTATCAACACGTTTGGTTATTGCAGCACTATAACTTCCAAAATCTTTCTTCGATTAGCCGTATAACCAAATCAGTCCAACAATTATCGGCCAATACCGATTTTATTTTTGCTTGGAACTGACAACATTTTTTTTTTTTTTTTAGGTTTTAAGATTCTAATCGGGTTAAACGCGAAGGATTAGTGAACGAATAGAAACCCGTGAAAAAAAAAAAATTTTTTTTGCTTGAAAATCCCAGAAGATACGTTTTTATTTATTTCGGTCAGTAATATAAAATTCTGATATCATAAATTAGATCAATGATTCCTATGATAATCTAAAAAAATATTTTTTTTTTTTTTTTTTGATTAAATTCACGTTTAATGCATGGAAACTTCCCTATTATATTTTTTTAAATTCTAATGAAAGACTAAAATTACAACTATGAGAAATAAACTTAATTCCATATATATGTCTATACATAAATATATACAGGATATACTACAATTAATTACGATTTTATGCTTTAACAAATCCGTTTTATTTGGTGCTTATTATATAAATGTTCCGTTCACAAAAATTTAAAGATGCGATCGAATTTTTATATTGTTTAAGTATGGAAATGAAAGTTTTATGAAACACGTGCGATAAATTTTGTAAATTTTGTTCGAGTATTTTCGAAGCTCTAGTTGAAGTAGAATCTTAAAATAATAATAGTAATAATAATAATAATTTTAGTCATCCTCCATAATCATCCTATTGCTTCTTCTTCCCTTCTTAACAACAGGCATATCTTCTTCTTCCTCTTCGTCGTGATCATGTAAAAGACTTTCGTCCATATCAATATCGGCATCGGGTTCTTCAACATCGTCTTTTACGCGCTTTGGGAGCATTTCAGGTGTTATGTCACCATCCACCTCTTCAAGGTGTTCGTCTTGGCCATTATCTTCATATTCATCCAAGTTTTCTTCTTTGCTCTCTTCATGATGACGTTTTCGTAACCTTGACGAACTCTCAACAGGAGTTAAGTCTCTTTTTCTACGACTTTCGGTAGCTCGTTCTTTTCCTTTGCGTCTTTTTTCTGGGCGGTTATATTCGTCATCGGAATCATTCTCATCCGCAACCACAAAACCAGTATCATCCTCGTATGAATCATTCCTTCTATATGACATGTAGCTTGGTTCATCTGGATCTGAATATTCGTCATAGCTTTTACGAGACCTTGATTTTGAGGCTGAATTTAAACGTTTTTCGGTGCGTGGTTTTTTTTCTCTTTCACTCTGAAATGGATTATAATAATAGTAAAAAAAAAGACGCGATAATGAATATAAAATCAAAATAATAATAAAAGTATATACTTGAAGTTGTAATTCAATTAATTTCGGATCATTTATATCAACAAATTTAGTCTTGACTTGTTTAACATTTCTAGCCTGAATGGCAGCGCTCAATCTTTTGTGTGTTCGGCTGTTGGGATCAGGACGGAAAGTAACCTGATTTGTCAACCTTGCATGATTTTCAATCGAATTACTGTGGACATTTGTGACTCCAAGAAACGTATGCTGCTTTGATATATCGTGAGAATTAATTAGAAACATCTCTTCTCCAATGAGCAGTGACATTGATCCATCCGACCATTTTATCATTTTAGTGTTTGATTCTTTTACTTCAGTCTAAAAGAAGATCCAACCAATTAAATTATGAAATAAAATTTAAATGAAATATAAAATTAAATTATAACTTTACCTCTTCGCCCATTTCGTTCCTTTTATATCGCCATCTTATCGTGTTTTCTGCACCTAATCTAATTGTATTTCCATGCTTGTAATCATCTTCTTCCGTATAGCTTTCAGGTGCATATGCTTGGGTGCAGTAAGTAAAAAAATTTGGCAATTTTGCTATATAATACTAAATGTTTATACAAGTATGCAATTTATACATGGTTTGATAATTTAAAGTATTTATTTGAGAAAAAAGTTGAAAGTTTATACCTTTCCATCACAGCTCCCCGGAGGTTTTGCGTAGACTAACTCATAATTTCCAGTATTAAAAGATCTAGGCCGTGTATATCCTTCATCATCTGATATCGGTGTGTCTTTATGCAAGCTTAGTTTAGAAAGAAGTTAACAATAAATATGGAAATGCTAACATTAATAAATAATTAAATCAAAGATGCTTTACTGTTCGAATTGCTCATCTTCGTCACTAACTACACCTCCAAATAAATCTATATCTTCGTTACCGGAGTTATCCTTTTTTGTATCTTCGTCGGTAATTTCCCATGGACTTTTTTTGGTCAAGTGCTTCTCTAAAAAAAGCTCGGAAATTGTGCCTTGATTTTTAGGTGATAGTGCAGTTGGTGTAGTTGACGAACTTCTTAAAGATCTAGTACGAGAACTATCATGAACAGGTGATTCTACGCCATGACGTTTTACACGTTTACGGCGAACTATTTCATTGTCACTGGCTGAATCGGTGTCTACAAGTTCTGAAAGGGGCGAATTTTGTTCTGATTCAAATTTGTTAACTTCATTTCCGTGATACGAGCTTTGTTGGCGTGGGCTACTTGGTAAACTACTGTGGCGACTTTGGTTACTAAGAGGACTACGATGAGGAGTTGTTTGTTGAGGAGTATTATTTTCACTTGTTGAATTTGTTGGTGTTGCCGAGTTTGACATTCTTAACTTGGATATAAAAGCTCGAACTTGGTATGTTTAATGTGAAACAAACTGTGTAACATTTAAATATTATACATTTTTAGTAATAGATATTTTTATTATATATATCAAATATACAGATTTATTAACTAATTCATTATATTTAATTATAATTATTTATAATTATAATCAGATTTCTCTAAATGCATTCTTCTTAGAATTATATTTTTATATTATTCAAGTTAAATAAAACTTTAAAATGCAGGTATTATTCTTTTTATTTGATAAAACTTTTTTTTAATTAAAATCAGATATACTAAATATTATTTTATAAGTTATATAATACAATAAAATAAATATATTTTTTTATATTATTATATTAAAGTTTCAATTATTAATATATTTCTATAAAAATGATTTTTTTATAATAATAAATTTGCATATGTACATATATTATATTTGTTTTTAAATTTTAATATCTTTGATAAATATATTAAATTAAAAATATATAATTTTATTGTATTGATATATAAAAAAATAAAAATTAATAATATAATTAATAATATATTATTTAATATATTTCCTTTTTATTTTTAAGAAATTGGACATTATTTAAATATTTTTTTGAGTTATAAATTAATATTTTAATATTATATAACTTAGATATTATTTTCATAAAATAATAGCAAACAAATATCAAACTATATTAAAAAATAATTAATTAAATTTTTATTCAAAATTAATTAATAATTAAGATACCAAATATAAAAATAGCAATTAATTAGTTAATTTAAATTAAATAATTAATAATTAATTAAATATTAACTTTATTGATATTTGATTATTATAATTAAAATTATTAAAATTTATAAAAAAGTGTTTAATTAGATTAATTGAATATTATTTATTTGTATTTATTTTTTTCTTATTTATTTGAATTACTTCATTTTTTACTTTTGATTACTTTAATTTTTAAATTTAACATGTTTTCTATCTATTTGTTATTTTATATAAATTTTTTTATAAATTTAAAAGTAAACAATTATAAAAATATATCTTTACAGTAAATAAAATAAAATAAATTTAAATTAAATTAATAGTATTATTTTAAAGCAATTAAATTTATCTATAAAAATTTGATATTTAATCAAATAGGACTTCTTAATTAAAATTTTTTTAGGTTTATTATACTTATTTTTTCACATTTTTGTAATTAAAAACTGATACATTTTATTTGATTTAATATTATCTTTTAGTAATTTATACTAGATAATTTAAATTAATTTCTTAAACTATTTAATCTTAAGTTTCAAAATATTTATATTATTTACATTTTCAAAATCATCTTAATAATTATATTTTAAATATTTTAGATTAATTAAGTTTTAGTAATGTTAAAAGTTTAAATAATTGCTAATATTATTTATTTTAATTTAATAAATAGTTATAAACAAATCATATATTTATATATATTTACAAAAAAATAATTATATGTAAATATTATTTAACTTTATTACTAAGTAACGAAAACTGTTAAAGCGTTTAAAGTTTGATATTTAATTAACTGTAATATAATATTTATTTGGTAGATCACGTGAGAGAACAGATATTGCATATATATGCATGCATAAAGCATGTCTAATTGTATATATCCTTTAGCTATAGCTTCAAACAAAAAAAACATTATACTACATAAATTGAATTTTTGGGATCAAATACTAAATATTCAAATATTTTAAATATATTTATTAATAAAATTGGATCAAATCTCAAAAATTACTAGATTATAAAAATAATTTATTAAGTAATATTAGAAAATTAAGTCAGAATTTAAAAATTAACTTCTTATTTAATTTAAATAATCTTCAAATAATTAATTATTTCAGTTTTAAACTATCAAATCTTTTATTAATAATATATCATAAAATAAATCAATTAAAATATCAATTAAATTAAATATTAACAGCTAAAACTAAAATATCTATCTAAAATAAATAAAAATGAAATTTAAAAATGTTTATTAAATAATTAAAAAAAGTAAAATTTTTGAAGAATATATTAAATAATTAAAATAAAAATTATTTAAAATTTACAAAAATATATTAATAATTAAAAAAATAAAAATTCATAAATGTTGATCTTTTAACTTTAAAAAGATTCAACATATAATGATAATAAAATCTCTTATAATAATTCTTAAAACTCACAATAATTTTAACATAAAGTAGTTGAAGATGGCTTAGAAGGTAGAAAAATTATTTCAATATGAGTTAACTGAAATTAAGTAATATCAGATTAGTATTCTCTTCATATACTATTACAATTTATTGAAGCCTGATTTTCTTTTAATAAAAGAAAGAAAAGAAAACAAATTTTTTTATTAAAAAATATTAATTTTTATATTAACTTTTTTTTTAAATTAATATTTTAATTTTATTTACCTTAAGAAAACTGAAATTCTAAAATTTATGGATTGTAATTTTGATAGTAAATAGCTTTTTTAACGTAAAAAATTAACATAAAAAATTAATTAAAAACTTATATATTCTAATAAAATTTTCTCATAATTTTCGTAATTTTTATAATAAAAATATTAATGCAAATATTTTTTTATCTATATTATTTTAGTATTAAGATAAAACCTAAATATATTATAATACAAAAATCTACAGACCCCTGCCAAAAGTCTCCGAATGCCATCTTTCAGGGGCTATTTCATACCGATTATGTTGCGTGACTGCATAATACTTCGGTCATGTAATGTTTAGACCTTTGTTTACTTGAATCAAACCAAATAAATGCGTGTTTGGTTTGTTTATTTTGATTTTTAATCAAAATAAACT